AGCCAGGATAGCAAACCCACGTGTTTTTGCTGATGGGAACTTGGGTCCCCTTCGCAGCGAGGGTGCAGCAAGCCGTTTGGTTGATGCAGAGCGGAGTGCACGCGCTGGGGTGTACGGTTTAACCATGTCCTGGATGTAGGAAGGGCCAGATCCATTCGCGGCATGGTACGCAAGTACCATTGTCTTGAAGTGGATTCTAGCAGTTACTGGAAGCGGCGTGGTGTGGGAGAATTTAGGAAGGTTGAAGACCAGACGAGCCGCTGGTTGAAGACCAGACGAGCCACTTTATATACAGTTTTGATGCATCAATGTATGAAGAGGAATTTGTCAGTCTTAGTCAACAATAAAAAGTGAAGTAAGATGAAGAGAGTAAGAAGATGGCTATCTCTGTACATTTAGATGAATAAAACCAACACATATAGAGACTTCTTTCTACCGTTAGAAAAGGATAATGACAGCTGCTGATATGGTTAGTGGGACTTGAATAATGACAGGAGGGAAAACAGTAGCCTGGATACAAGATGATAGGACACCAAGGCAGAGACAGAGATACTTTGCTTGCCTCCGTAATGTACAGTACAGTCAACGTGACTCTGTGTATGCTCACTTAATGATATATTATGTTACTGCTATCCGTCTTGCTGCTGGGAAACTGGGAGACATTGATTTATTGTTTTTCACAACTCACCTAAGCACAACGGAAGAGTTGTTGTCAACCAGCATCAGCCCTTATAACATATCATAATATACACTGTGTTGGATGTAGCAGGGCTATTAGCAGTACATACAGACACAGACGCTGACAGTAAGAGAAAGGTGGGGAGGGAAGGAGAGACAGAGGAAACTCTCATCCCCAGTGTTTGAAGCCACAGTTAAAAATAACAGCAGAGGAGATCAAATCGTCTTGACTGTACTGCTGCATCTCCTTTGGTCCCCTGCACTCCTCGTGACACAGCGCTGGAGGTTAGCTTGACTGACCGCTCCTTGCCCTCACGCACAGCTCTCAGCACTCTCACACGTCTAATGACTGGGCAGTGTGCACCCTCAATCCCAGAATAGTTCTGACTGAATTTGCCATCGATTTCCTCCTATTCATACGAGAGAATCGCCCCTGCCATGCCGCATGGGGTTTATCGTTCAGCAGGTAACAAAGCACACACAGAGCCATTGCCAGTGTGAGCCATCTCCACAAACAACAAGGCAAAGTGCTTACAGTGAAGTCAATCGGTAAGAAGGGCAGTTAGCAGCCTCAAGTCATGGCTGTCTCTGACTCGCTTAGAGGAAAAGTTTCCATGCAATTAGTTCAAACAGCCTCTGCCAAAAAGAACCGAGTGTCAGTTTTTATAGCTCAGTATCCTATCTGGCCAAAAGCTTCAGCGGGGTAGAAAATGCTGCAAGGTTCAGGGAGACAGGGATTTGAATTCCCAGAGTGTAGAAGTGTCAAAAAGTCTGTAAGTGAAATTCTGTAAAACTTAAGTAACTTTATCGTCAGAACATGCTCCGTTTGTGTCTTTTACTTATCAGTATGGTCAGTCAACTTACAAAGGATGTATATTCATGAGCTTTGGTGTTGACTTTAAAATATGCAGTGCAGTACTTTGTGTTTTCAATGTTTCACCACAACCTCCAACCCATCCAATGCCTGGAACAGATTATTAATCAAATGATAAGTACTTTGTGTAGGTGTGTGTATGCGCAAGTTTGTTTGTGTATATTTTTTGAGTGTTAAATTAAGCTAAATCCTGATCGCTTCCTTCTCGCTGTGTTATGAGCTGATTGATGAACCGTTTTCAGGATGTTTATAGAAATCCCGTTTTAGAGTTTCCAGCAATGACCGTGCTAATGCTAAACATCTGGAAGTGTGATTTATACGCTGACTATGCTCTCTATGGTGAGCTGCACCTCAGGGACATTGAGCAACAGAGGCATGCTTAGACATGTTGTATTACATACTGGTTTCACTCACAGCCCACTTACCCTTTCCTCTCACTGGGCCGCACACAAAAAATGACGACAGCTGCATTCAGCACACACTGTTCTGTATCAACAAGAGCTTATCTTTTATGGATGAATTATTACCTGCAGGCCCCCCACTCAGTTTCCAGGAGTCCATATTATGCTGCTGAATAATTTGGTGGGCAGACCGATGGTAGAAATGCAGATTCATGTGGGTAAAAAACTATTCAGTGACACCTCAACACTCCCAGGCAGAACGACAGACCATCAAGCGCCGCACACATAGTGTCCTTCACCGCTGCCGTGACATGAGGAATAGCTTCTCCCAGAGAGCAAGTGCAGGTGCTTGTGTGTGCTTTTGTGCAGGTTGAAGTTAAGGTGACAATTGGAGCTAGAGATATTCACGATCACACCTTCTCTCTCCGGCATCAAGTCAAGCCTTATTAATGTGCAATTAAAATGTCCTCTCAGCTCTGAAAAATAAATTAAGCTTAATATGTGTTTGGGAACAAGCCATTTCACTGATGCAACTCTTCAATTAGGCATCAGGAACAAGACTGCATTTAATGGCCAATCAACCTCAATTTGACTTATTTTTAAACGGTCTTTCTGTGGCATGTGGGAAAACTAAACCACAAGGAAATTGCCCTATTTATCAAACAACAGACACATCCATATCCTTTCTAACGCTCCAAAGTTTCTTGGATCCTTAATTGTACACACCGTGCAGCTCTTGTGGGCGAGAGTTTGCACGCTTCTATGACCACGAGAGGAGAACATAAATTGTTATTCTATATCTCTGTTGAACTGTGTAAAGAATTTGGAGCTGAATGATGCAGCCTCAGGGAAGGAGAGGCATGAGCTGAAATGTACAACAATGTATTTAAGGAACCTAGAGGCACTTTGAAAGATGGACATTTGGCTTGTTGTTAAAAATTACGTGTAATAAGTTTACAAAATATTGCATACAAGCAAAATAGAGTCAATTAGGCATTATTAATGTGCCATGGACCATGTTGTAAGCCGTTTATACATTTGCAAAATAAATATTGTTACATAAGAAAAGCTATTATTATATGGTGATCATTTCCTGTAAGCTCGGTGAACAGCATCAGAGCCGAGTTAATATTAAAAATCTAAACTTATGTTTGCTCATGTAGTCTCTAATCTTTTAAGGACGCCTGAGAACAGCCGAATAAAAGAAGGTATTCAAACACAGTTTATAGTTTAAGCATTTAGAAACAATCCTGAGTATTATTAAACTAGTGATTCAAAAGAAAAAATCAGCCAACAAGATAAGAGATGATATCATATCTAATCATATCATGTCATATCATCATTTTAAGTATATTAGTGCATTTGTATGAAAGCACATGAAATACATTGAGTCTACACACTTTAGATGTACGCAAGATTGGGTCATCTGCATCAAAATGAGTCTGCATTAGAACACATGTCATTAATAAACACTGGGAAGGACCCAGAATAAACCTTTAAATAACCCCACTGTCACTTTCATTTGGAGTTTGTTTTATTTCACTGGTTATAACAAATTTAACAAACTTTGATCAAAATTGGCACATGACTGACTTGTTATATAAAACACAATGACCAACAATATCAAAACCCCTTTGGCGTTCCTATAGTTGGGACTTTAGTTTTTCTCTCTAAAGTTAAAATGACTTAGTTATAATCGTCAAAGGGCAGTGGCTGTCTGTGGCAGACTGAACATTGCAGAGCTATTGAATCAAACTGAAGTAGGTTTCTAGCTGGAGGAAAAGGGTACCAAGTCAACGCAGAGAAGACCTTCATATCAGCGATTATTACACAGAGAGAGTTCCTTGGCATGAATACCAAGAGACCTGCTGTTGCTGTAGAAAATTAATAAAGAGCTTTGGCATTTCAAGGTCAAAGATTGAGCAGGTTCCTTCCAATGGATCAGCTGAGTAAATTATGCAGGAGCCCCTGTTCAAGGAGGTGTTTGAAGTAATGATTTGATCATGGTATCTTGCACATTTCTCTGCTAACAGATTGACATGCTAACTGGAAGCATAGCACATCATTTTTTTAACTTTCCTTTTTCCTTCTCTCTGGTAAATATAGAGTGACTGCAAAGGTCAACATCTCTTAATGTGAATATTCCCCAAATAGTTGTTGAAATGGCCAAATGCAATTATTATTTATGTATTTATTATTTGACATTTCTTATTGAATTTGGACCCAATCACTTATTTTAGTCAGTCCACTTTAAAATGCTGTTAGCATGACATTATCCATTGATCCAGCGAGGGGAAGCGCACTTGTCCCTGGAGTGAGTCTGTTAATGAGCCGGATGATTGAAGGCTGGACTGGAAATAAGGCAGGGGTGGCTAATGAAGACAATAGGGGGTGACTGCTGAAGGGAGGGGAGGGTCGGGTTGTCATGTGATGGTCTAAAAATATATATTCTGTGTGGTATAGTTGCCTGCAGTCGGTATGTGGATTACACACTAACACTAAGTGTCATTCTTCACATCCTCTGGTGTTGCCAATGACAAAACAAACAAGCATTCAATAATAACCCCAAGAGACAATCCTTGCTCAGGAACAATTATCTGACTAAAACCAATGAAGGGGGACAAAAAAAAGACTGTCATCTTATCACCAACAAAAAAGGGTTGAAATTGACTCGCCAGAAAAAACAGCAGCCTAGTCTTTTGTTCTCACACCTAATTAAGATTATGGATACAACCTTTCCCTCTGAGCACAACATCATTCTTATGCTCTCCCTCCTGTACTCAAAAGGGATGGATTAAAAGCACTGAGTCAGCACATCAGATCAAGCTATTTCAAAAAGCCTCCAGATATTAAACTCATTTCTTAAAACAACTTTTATTGTTTTATATATAGCACCAAACTCAGCATAACAACCTTCCCTTCAGTTCTGAAAACCCTGGTTTAAACTGTTAAGTAACATAGGCCTGTTGGTTGAATGCCAATAGTGCCCTCTCTCAGGTTACCCACTACTTTCACTGCCCTGCTTGTGTGGCTGTGCTGCACATTACCTTAGCAGCGAATGATGAGCTGGGCTTCTCCATGAGGTCCCACAGCTTCTGCCTCGTTTCGGAACAGCATGTGGTCGTAAACTCCTCTCCGACCCTTTCTCTCATGCTCTCCGCTTCTCTTTTCAGCTCTTCGTTCATCTGCTCCTTTTTCTGGTGGTACCTGGCCTGGCAGCAGGACTCCAGGTAGATCTCGTCGATGCCCCAGAAGTCCAGTTCTTGGCTGAAGGACAAGGCGCACATCTCCTCCATCATGTGCAACTTCCCGGTGCGGTAGAAGTTCAGAATGGAGGTGAAGGCACCGGGGTGTCTGTCGAAAAAGTACTCGTTGTTCTCCGTGCTGTAGTCGTCACATATCTCCATCATGCCGTCGTGGGTGTTGCAGTCTCTCAGTTTGCCCAGTCTCGTGCGGGGCAGCCTGTCCAGTGTCCTCCACAGGACTTCATGGAGGAGACCCCCGACGTTGAGTCTCACCCGGCGGGCCAGGGTCTTGCTGCGGATGATGTCCATGGCATCCGGCAGCGAGGACTGTGAGTGAGACCCCTCTTTGTTCATCTTCACTCAAGTTCCTCGGTCACTTGAAAAGACTGTCGGATAGAGTCCGGCAGTTTAAGAAGACATGGTCCTGTAGAGTGTAGACGACCGCATCAGGGTCCCTCCTCAATTCTTCTTGTGACTGTAATAAAATAAAATAAAGAAATATTTTAGGCACAGTCAAGCAGGCAGTGTCCTACAGTAGCAATGTCAGGTGGTTTATCCGCTCATCAGAGAACCTAGTAGATATTTGAATCTGCTTTAACCCTTCTCTTGCGTTTCGGGTCAAAAGTGACCGAATTACTTTTGTTATAATCATAGATATTGTGTTTTTCATCCAATTGCCTCAATACCTTATGTTATCCTCCACACTAGGCCTCTGAACATATACACTTGATGATCACCACTTGCATTGAATTTTGAGTGATTTATTCAACAGTGAAACACCCTTGACGTTTTCGGTATTATGTTCATCCTGCAGATGGAAAACATCTATACACAAACACACATGTTACAGGAACTTCTCCCTTTCTCGGCTGTATGATACAATGTATCATACGTTCTCACAGGTGCCAGCTCTGTGCCCCTCGAGAAACACAAACCTCTCACTTTCTCGCGCTCAATGTGCCTCCATTACTGGCTCTCAAGCAGTTATACTTGTGCCTTGCTCACATTTGACTCATTGACACAATGAGCAGGCGACCGATTAGGCGATTTTCTGTATGAGGGGCTCTGGACACATTTTTGAACCAGATGAAGAGGAGATTGAACCAGATGAAGAGGAGATAGAGGAAGATGTCACAGAAATGGAAGACAACAGCGATCCAGACCATGAGCCTACAACAGACCAGGAAGAGGCCCCTGAAGGAGAGGCCCCTGAGGTGACATTCCACAATTTTGCATTGCCAACTATGTGCGTGATCACACGCACGCACACGCACATGTTCTGTTATGGTATATTTCTCTTTCAATAAATGTTCATTGAGGAAAACATGATTATTTTATATTCATCACAGTGAATGCTGAACTTGATGGGCCCACCGGTGGGTCCGGACCATGACATGAAACACTGGCTTGCTTGTATCAAATCAATACATCCCATACATCATTGGAACGGGATGAATCTCAGCTACAACACTAACTAAAGCATTTCCATCTCCAGTAAACACAGCCTACATGGCAAGCATTTTCATAATATACAGTAATGTAAAATAAGCACTATCTCTGAACTTACTGCAAAAAATAATACGAAATTCACTCCTGGTGTCATTCTGTCTGTCCTACCTTGATTCTACTTGCTTTGACTGTTCAAATCAGATGTCACACCGGTCAATTTTGACCGAAAATAGCACGGGAAGGGGGGTATGACCTAACGCAAGAGAAGGGTTAAGAGACACAGCCGCTTTTCTTGCTGACAAGGGTGGAGAGCCGGGCCAATGATAAACTGGACTTCACTCGTGAGCGCTGTCCGGTGCTGAAAGGCCGGTCCGTCACTCAGCAGCCCGCTGCCGGTCCGTCGCTGCCCGCGGTGCTGAAACGCCTCAGCTCGGGTGGGACAGCGAACAGCACGTGAACTGTTCTCAGGAGGGATATTAAGACTAAGACTATGATCAGTTACGGGCTTTGATTTAAAGCCCGTAACGCATCCAGTCTGATGTCTATCCTTGCAAGTGGTGCAGTTTGCCCAGGTTGAGTGTTAAAGGACAAACAATTATAACAATTTATAACGTACATTTGTTGAATAATAACTATTCTGTTCATACCTTAGTTATGCAACACCACTGTATTTTGGGGAAATGTAATGTGTACCTACGAGATCTGGCAGGTAAATTAGTGCATATTGTAATGATGGTCAGCTACGCCAAATAGAGAGAGAGTACAAAGTGAAACCAAGTGGGCTATAAAACGCGATAGTATATGAAATCTGACATAAACACAACAAAAGAATAATATACATACGTGTCTCATTTTCATCCCGAATCACCACATGGACGGATATCAGCAACATTTCAAGAGTAAACCCGTAAAAACTTGTATTGTCCGCGCAGGTCTCCGGTGCTCTGCTGGGACCTGGTGGAGGCATCATGAGCTACGTGGCGACATGTTGAAAAATATAATTGTTTTACACAAATGTCTCCGTATCCAGTCCTCCCTGATCACCCCCTACTGTGGCGAATCAACAAGTTCTGTTCAGAGAGCAGCCGGGAGCACTCTGGCCGCTCCGCTGTGAGTGAGTGCTGCCGGCGGCTGTGACTGTGGTCGGCATCCTGCAGGGGGCTGATTCACTCCGGCTCCTCCAGCGGCTGCAGCCTGAGAGTTTAACCCTCACAGAGCCAGCGAGCCTCTGCTCAGAGAGCTATACTGTGTATGCTATTTCTGTGCTAACAGTGTTACAGGAACCCACAGCCTGGGACACAACTGAAACCCTTCTAAGGAATGTTACATGTAAAAGGTTGTACGTTTCTAAGTCATGCTATGATTCTTTATTTTAACAGGGGAAGTGCACAAACAACATATCCTTATATTAAATAAGGAGGGATGTAATTCACCAGGATTTAGCATGTTTTTTTAATTCCCATATAGGGGGAAAGCAAAATATAAAATAGTAAGAAAATAATATACATAATACAAATAAACATTATAAGAAGACACGATCAAATTAAGATTAGACCATAACAGACAACCAATTACAGTATTAACACAGTCAGTGTACGTGACCTCCAAGTAAGGACATTAAGCACACGTTATATGCATATGGGAATAAGGGATTATCAAACTTTCAGCCATTAGAGGCAGACATACTGTCAGGCCTCCCAGGAACATCTTAGTTATCGTAGCCCTCCCTGGACAGTCAGCTGCTAATGCTTTCTAAACTGGAAAGTGAGCGGTGAGAAATTCAATAACAGCAGAATGGGTCTCCGCAGACTGGCATACAGTCAGGCTCAGAGGAAAATGTAGCCATTAGTTCCTACAGAATGATTCAACACTTAGGAAACACCACTTTCTTGGGCCTAACGGGATTGATTTTGTTAATGTTCGAGTCCTAACTTTGTAAAGTTTGTGTTTTCCAGGGTCAACGTGATGTACTTGTATCTCTGAGCAGAGTAAGTGCATGTTGTTTGTTGTTCCTCTGCAACAGTACCTTACTATCTGTGTCCACGGTGGATCTGCTCCTGCTAAGTAATCAGTTGCTTTCCAAACAACATATCAATCTGAAGTTTCCACTAAGCCTCACTCTGCAAACAGAGAGCATGTGTAAGTGTGACAGATGTGTGGCCGGCTCTGTTTACAGTACAGGCCGTCCCACACTACGCTTGTAGTCTTTATTTAACATACTGCTCCCAAGCAACACTTCCCACAGCTCCTTAAAAACATACCTTATGAAGACACATTTCAACGTCTTATTAATAGTCTTACCAGCTAATAGTAATGTGGGATAAGGCACAAACATGTATATGATTGTGATGGACTCAGCAATCATTTTACCCAACAAACTCATAGAAATTTGACAACACAATATGGTACACAATGCATTATTTACATTTATTGATAAATAGCAAAAATAATGATATACTATATTATATAAATAAAAGATACAAAAGTACAAAGGGGCATATTGACACTATAAACAATGTGCATTTGTTGAAATGTGCTTTAAAGATTCCGTGTTTTGATTGCTTTTATATTCCTAGTGTGTATTTCTAGGTCTGTATCGGACAAGCAAGTCTCTTTCAGGTTGAAGCATCCCAAATCCATAACGACTGGCATTGACCTCCGGTATCTGAGAATTTGGGTCAGAGAGCTCCAAATCGTAGTTCGTCAACACCATGTAAACAAACCTGAAGAGTCAAACATGAAATTAGAACTTTCAAGATGACATTGAAGGTAACAAACTTATCCAATGTGAAACATTTTGAGGTCTTAATGGATCGTAAAGTAACATGGTGACTTATAGGACACTCACTGTCTGATGGTGTTGATGGCAAACTTCTTTCCCATGCAGCCATTGGCCCCTGCGCCCCATGGCATGGTGTAATATTTTAGCCTTCTCCCTCCTTTATAAAAATCTCTCTTCACGGAGCCATCTTTATTCAGGAAGCGATCGTACTTATATTTCTGGAAAGGAAACACATTTAGAGATGCAACCGGTTAGAAAGGGCAGATTTTATTCAGTTAGATCAGAGTTTGCTAGATACTGTAGTTTTAGCTAGGTCCTAGTTTCTGGTTTGTTTCATTGCTACTGGACAGTGCGTCAATGATTAGTGTTAGTGCAGCCTGCAATGTCCTTCCCACGCCTATTAGCTGTGTTTCTGTTCCCGTGCTTAGCTAATCCCTCAAAAGGTCCACAGCTCTGGTTTGACCCCCCCCCCCCCCCCGGGAAGGGTCAGTGTTGTGTAGGCGTTGATTCCACCTTACATAAACCACTACACTAATTACACTTAGCTCTGCCTCCAACTAGTCAAGACAATTACTGCTGTTCCTGTTGGCAGCACAGTAAGCTTTGGATAGAGCGAGGAGGTTGGACACAGGCAATATGATACTGTAACAAGATAGGACAACCAACCTGTGGCTCGTGGTGAATCTCTGGGTCCTTCTGAGGGCTGTTGAAGGGGAACAAACACACCCGGTCTCCTTTCCTTAGCAGGTACTGTTGGCCATCAGCCATGTTGAGGGTTTTTTCCTGCACTACCTCTCTGGTGATGAAGGGGGCAGCAGTGAGTCTAAGGGTTTCTTCTAAGGCGCTATCTGTAAGAGGCAGAAAGAAATGTTGTTAATAACAAAAGAGCAGAGGTTTTATTTGCAATATTTCTCTACTTATGAATTAGGCTTTATTCATCCATTTTCTGTTCACCGTAATCTACTTTTCTTAGCTGCAATATTATCTTATTTTTGTTGCCCTATACATCGACATGAATAATGTATAAATCCATGAATCTTTCAAATGTGATTCCAGACTACCTGACGAAAAGGAGCAAGCTACTCCCAACAAATGTTTTTCTTTCTGTTTACACTAAGCCCTCACCAAACACAGGGGTGTTCACAGGTCTGTCCAGTAATGAGGTCTCTGAGGTCTCCATCGTTGAGACAGCGCTGAACTCGTTCTTCACCGCTGTCAGAGCTTCAGGGTTTGTCAATAAGTAGCCCAACAGCCAAAATGCAGCCGGACCAACATTGCCCTGAAAACAAATAAAGACTCACATGATGACAATGATAGGGTTTTTAGTTTCACTCTGGCGTTGCATAGTGACAGCGCAGGTGGTTGTTTGCTAATAGAAAATAAGAACATCACATCCCTAGTGCTCATGTCTATTGTTTGTTAGAGTTGTAATGAAGCACACATTTCAATAAAAGTCTGGTTCAACAAAAATAAAAAGCATAATGACTATTGGGGGCTGCTGACTGGATAAAAAGGCAACAGCTTCCTTTCATCTGTGAGGTATGAGAGGAGCCGTGCTCTGGATAGTTTCACTTCTGGCAAAGCTCAGCCTGGTAATGGTTTACTAAATAAGGAAAGCGCTTGGAAACCGGAGGTCCCCCGCCATCTGCCTGCATCCAAGGGCAGGACAAGCTATGAAGCTATTTAGTTTTACAGCTTACTGTGGCGCAGACTGCCAAGAGAAGACACATCAAATAGTTCACATTATGTTCATGTAATTACCACAAAATGGCCTCTTAAGTCATTGCAAATACACAATTAGGTGTGTTAATGCGTACTAAAATACATAAACACAACTGATCATAGAACTTCGGTATCCATTAAAAGATTTGTCACAAGTACAAGACATTATCCAAACTTTTGGCAAATGTATCACAGACCTGTGTGTGTGAAAGCTTCCTTATAGACAGCAATATTTCACTGTTAATAACACCATATATGACTGACATGACAACATTGTGTGTCATAACCATAATAACTGTCCAACAAGGTCTCTGTATTTCATGCGATATATTAGTTAACTTCTCGCAAAAGTTTTGTGGGAAACTAAGAATGTGACTCAGAGACAACCTAACGACATGATTCAAAGCTTGTAATCAAATGGTGCATAAAGAGGCATCGACACAGATATTTGTTTTTGCAAAGCCATCATGGTCCCCTTAAGAAAGATAAAGAAACTGAGTTTAAATGAAACACCTTTTATTTAAAGTGGCTTAGTTGTTAGTAAGCAGTCTGAAGGGGAACGCAAATGTTGAAGTTGCCATCTTATTTATATCTTTGATGCAATACACTTCTCCAGCAGGCTGTAGGCAACACTGTGAGTCAATAGCAAGTCCAGTTTTACGTGAGTGAGAAGTCAAGATCAGTTCAAATCCATTCAAGACTAAAACCAATACAACCAATAACCTGCTTGTTTTGTTATAGTAGAAATAAAATGTCCCTTTAACATTGGAAGAGATGGAAGTATGTGCATAATAGCTGACCTTTAAACATCCTACAAACCAAGTGAAGAGATTTCTGACCTTTACATTTCTTGAATGAGACACATGTTTCCCTTTGTTCTGTAATCAATGAGAGAATCAATCAAGTTACCATGTCTGTTAATTTGGTGTAATAACACTGTGCTCCATCACAGTCATACAGTCTTATATTTGTTAAACACTTGCATGGCTTTCCAATTTAAAGGCAGACTGCTGTGAAAGCAGAAAAGTTCAGAAGTGAACAGCACACTCATGTGTTAGATAAGAGTACTGCACAGTGGTAGAGGAAGTAGTTCATACCAGAATCAGAAAATAAATGTACTCCACTACAATTAAAAGTCCTCTATTAAAAACCCTAATTAAATAAAGGATTATGAATCCTGAGGCAAATACATCATATGTAACTGTTGATGTTGGTGGAGTAGCTGTTCTGTTTAGGTAGTTTAATCCAGCATAAATAATGAAGGTGAGGAGGCATGAAATAAGTCATGGTGTAATTATTATGTTGATTATACACATTTCTAATATACTTTGCTTTGTGAAGTATTGGATAATTTTACCTCTGAAGTTTTTGTTAGAGGCCATGCTAAAAAAGTCAGGAACCATTGGTTTAATCTTTTAAAATGTGTTGTATTTCAAAAGCTTATCATATTGTATTTAAGATCTCATTTCCAGCTGCAGTAACTATGTAAAGGCAGTTATCTAAAAGTAGCTAAGTAAAAAGTATATTATTTCCCTCTGAAATGTCGTGGAATAGAACGATTAAGTATCAGAATATTGGAAAAACTCATGTAAAGTATCTCAAACCTGTACTTAAGTGCAGTACTTCTTAATAAACGTTCTTGGATACTCTCCCACCACAGAGACTGAGTGTCATCAAGTTCAACCGACAGACAGCCTCTCTAATCTCGAGGGGTGATCACCAACTGAAATTCTGGCTTTGCACATTCTTTCAACGTCTTGCTCACCTGTGTGGCCCACAGCTGCATCAGCACAGCCTTCCTCTGCGTCTCCTCGTCGGCCCCATCCTCCTGCAGGAGCCTCCTGTAGGCGTGGAGCCAGGGGCTGGCCCCCGAGTCCTGAGTCAGGCCTGCTGGAGCCAGGAGCCCGCACAGTCTCTGCCGCACACTCTGGGCTGTCCTCTTCTCCTCTGAAAACAGATAAACATCACAGCGTCAGTGAGGGAGTGAGTCAGGCTAAACATAAGCAGTGGAGCCTAATCTGAATGAAAGGCCTGATATATAAACAGATCGTACAGATACCGAGGTTGAACAGGCTCGACTGGAGAGCAATACTATTGTAATTGGCCAACTTTCATGTGTAATAAAGAACAAAAGCAAATCTAAAGAATGATACAGCACGCAAGGAAAGACCTTTCTTCAAAGAGCTCGGGGGAATAAGGTGTAGCAGCTGGTACAAGTTGTATCAGGTCTGTGATGATACATTGGGAATCGTAAAAGTCTTCAAAATTAAAACAAAGCTACTAGACATTGCGTAAGCAACTGAGTGAGGGAAACTTGCCATGACAACTGCAAAATAGAAATGATCTTATATCTATCGATGATGTCAATCCATGTTAGTGATAAATGTTAACAGTGTAAACACAAGTTACGTCTCTCCTGAGTCATGGAGTTTGATGTGCATCATAACTAACAGACTTCTGTCACTGCAGCCTTCCTGACTAAAGCTTCTGACACCCCAAAGGATATCTGTAGGCACAGTAAGTTCAGCATCACTACCTGGCTTCAGTGTGCCTCTCGCCATTTTAGTCAAGAGGCCATCAAACTTCTTGTACTCCTCATAGACGCTGGAGGGATCTGTGCCGTTGTTGTTTTGTTCCCCTCCGAACAGCGACAGGTACCCCGCCCTGCAGAGAAAGGAGACATTGAAAGTGTGAGAACGTGTGGTACTCTATGGGGGATGAATGCAGACATTGTTTTGCCTTGACAGAAAGATAACCAGCCCACGCAGGTATTTCATTTGACACAAGAGATCCCCTTTCAACTGGTAGGTTTCCATTGGCCAACACAAGGTGAAGCTTCTCTCCAGAGTGTATGTCACTGTGTCAAGGGTAACATTACTACCTTGTAGTGTTTTACATTTCCTGATACTCTCTCCTTTGTTTACTAAGGATACTTCTTAACATGAAGGGCAGCTACTTTTATGTTCACATCCTGTCTCCTAAAACACTCAACCGGAAAGGTGACCTCAAACATTTGTGTCATGGTAATCATCCTACATTTTTCTTGCTGTGTTTACAAGCAAAGGACCGCAGGACTGGCGGCTGTGTAAACTGTTTAGTGGAAAATGTTGACGTAATGCTTCTTTTAACTTAGTCAAGAGTGTGTGTGGGCGAGCCAGGGGCACAATTACTTGAAAAGTAGGCTGTAGGAGAGGTTGAATAGTCCCTGCTCTTTCCAGTCTTTCTGGTTCTGAGGCATCTCAGTTTTCAGTGAGGCCTGCAGGTGTCTGCTCATGGTGCTGTTCAGTGCGGCCAAATTCACTCCCATGAAGTGCCTGTGGACACAAAAAGGTTGAGATGACAAAGTAAATAAATGTTAAATGGCATTCCATTGAGGGGAAATCCTGTGAATCCTGTCACACTAATTGATGTGGTGACCTGACTTCATAGCTAATTGTTGACTTAGGTTTCATATTTTCCCTGAGGTAATGAACAGGCTCCGAGTTTTATTTTTAGCACATTTGGGTAATTGTTAACATGATGAACGACGAAAGGAGGGGTCGGCAGGACACACAACTTATCACTCAGACTGAGCTTCCAGAAAGCAGTGTGCCCATTGGTCAATCTTTTAAACCTTAACATTAAAAAAGATTGCTTTGTTTTTATTTTGATGTCTGCCAGTATCTCAATACAATAGATGCCTGAACAATAATGAAACAAGAAGACCTACGAATTGATTTCCCAAAATAGTAAGGGAGTTTTCAGAAATATCCACAGTGATGCTATTCATGAGATTCGAGTGGTAGTATTTCCACAAACAAATTTCGCTTCTCTATTTATATAAGAAATGAAAATGAAAATAGACAGTACAAGCTTTCAGTTTGGAGTTCATACTAATGAGGACTTACTTTTTCATCAAGGCTGAAACATTAGACGGCTGATGATGAGGGAGCCGCAGGTTGAAGATCCTCTCCATGAGCACCTGTGCATAGCGAGTGAAGTCCAGGGAGTCCGAGTCATTGATGACCGCGTCGTACGAGTGAGGATCCAGCAGCACCGTCACATAACGTCCAGCAGCACGCACCTGCACATCATCAGTGGAGAAAATTAAAATGCAAGAAGAAAATGCAGCAAGAATTATTTTTTCATGCATTTCTGTAACATTATAAATTCTCCGAGCACTTTTTGTTGTGATTAGTGTTCTAATGTATGTTATTTCTTAAAGTTTTGAAGCAAACCAATTCGTTTTCTCATGAAGGGTAGTATTCCATTTATCTTTCAAATAAATGAAAAAGTATTTGCTTGTACAACTCAAATATAAAACTCTGTATTTTGTTTCAGGATAACTTAAAATCATGGCATCATGGTATCCTGATGTAAACGTTTAGTGTTATCCGTAACATGCTGTTACATGAACATAAACATATTCTTAAATGTCTAACCATTAATCTACAGTATCATTTGGAGAGGCAGCATTTTTAAGCTGAATTGTTTTATAAGTATTAAGATCTTTAGAGGATCATATGTATTCATATCGTATTTACAGAGGGGGCATCGGTGAATCAGATCATCATCTCTGTTGGTCTTTTCTACTCACTGTGAAAATGTCGCCATGTTTCTGCTTCATTCGGTCCAAGAACTTGGAAGCGTCTTTTCCAAACTCAAGTGCATGGCCTAACCAGGGGATAACTCCTTTGTCTAGAGGAGGATCGCTCTTGGATCTAAAGGGAAAATTAAATACAAATATAAAGTTACATTGATTTATTGTATTTTCAACAACTTGCTATTTTGAAGATGATTGTCTTTCTTTATCGTACTGACAGTTTAAAAAGTTGGAGAGACACAACGTGACATGCAGCTCTGGACAATAACCAACATAGATATGTGTTATTTTACACATGCATTTACTTTGTTGTCTGCCTCAACATTAGTTTGTGTCACTTATTTTACGTCACACCTATTACGACATGATCACTTAATATAACAATAAAAGGGATAGGTAAAATTGACTTGACAAATTATTCTTTCGTCATTTGTCATTGCCTCAATGGAAATTGAAAGCTCAATGAAGTGGAAAGCTACACAATAGGGACACTTATAATTAACACTGCAGTAGTTTAACTGCATTCCTTTGAATGGAGAAGCCAAACCAATACAAAATAAAATGTTGGCGTGTGCGAACATCACGAGAAAAATAGCATACTCGGGTGGTAGACAAAATCGTTTGACAAATATGTCACCACACTGACTAGGGCGTGTAAGATTCAATGTCATGTGCATTTTTCATTAGCGTGTTTAGAGCACGAAGAAAACACAATACAAGTCAATCAAACAATAACTCACCTCGATCTGTGTGTGAGAAGGAAATAAAGCAGGACAGCTTGGAAAATCAGAAAAATAGTCCAGATCATCTCGTGTGTTTACCTTCCTCGCTGCTCTGAGTCAATGGAGTCCCATCTGCTCTCACATGGCTTTATTATGAGCCAGAGGTACGTCACAGTCCTGTCACTGCATCTTTACATTTCCCACGCTGTTGCATGTGCTCGCTTACGTTATCATGATTACACTTCTTTTATTTAATACGAGGGAATACAACGATAATCATTTAATTATCCTTAACGCTAGTTTACATGCAGTTGAGACACTCGTTTGTATTTATAGGGATTTAGCTAGAATGGATGGGGACCCGGAAAAAAAGTTGTTAGCATTACTCTGTAGTAAGGTACAGCATCAACCGCATAGGATGGGGAATTACCTGCACTCTGCCAGACTTTATACATGTTCGTGCACAAACTACAGGTGAAAAGTTAATATGTAGTATCCATGTTGCCGGTAGTTCAAACCGCAATTAAATCTAGATCAAATTTGTATTGGATTTCCTTTTTTTTTTACACTGGATTTTGGCAAGATCTGCCTAAATTATGTTCCCTTGTTTGGGAAAATCCCTTTTGTAAGGCAATCGTTTATTGAAAAGCTTAAGGAAGTATGATCCTACATGCCAGTATTCACGCACACCGGAAGTTATTACTGTAAAAAAAAACTGAGTCATGCCAGCTGGGCTTTATCCTTTTCAACTTAATATGAGCTCATGTTTTATCACCTAGTGTGTGCTCAGGTTGGCATATCAAAAATGGAGAAACAGAGGAAAGTCACCCTGATTGTAGAGACGTGCTGAATTTCAGGTAGATATTAAAGATTTAAATAAATAATAATAATAAATTAATACATATAAAAGTACATGGTCGCATTCTACTAAGCAAACAATTGTAGATGTACCACAGATGTACCACTAGTATTATGTGATGAATATTTACATTGACTTTGAAGCATCAACTTTTTGTTTGAATCTTTATTAACCACACCAATATGAAAATGTGCAGTCCCTGTAAAGTTGACACAGCGGGTCTGAGGCGTGCAGTGAAACAACTTTTAGCAGCTTTCTGAACAGCAATATGACAAATAAACTGCTTCACTCAAACAAAAGGTTTGGGGACCACTAAACTGCTGCTGAACATGAAAATAGCTTTTCTTTCTCTAGTGATCTTATTATCGCATCAAACCAAAGGAGAAATACAAAAATGATATGCTAAAACTGCTTGGCAAGACTAACAAGAGAATCTGTATTAAGAAAAAATGTAAAATCGGTAAAGGAATTATAAATAATGCTGAACCTACATGGCCTCAAATGTAAACTCAGAACTTCAAGGCAGGATGTGAATTAGGAGAGCTCCTTATCCCCCTCCTTATCCCCCTTCTCTTCCACCTTCTCTTCCCCCTTCTCTTCCACCTTCTCTTCCCCCTCTGCTTTAACCGTTCCTCGTGATTCATAGACATCCTCCGGAGTTTGGCCAAACACGCCTGTGGTCCGCTTGAGGAGGTAGACGGCAGCATGTAAACCCCCGACATTGACCCAAACAGTGTGCAGCCTCCTCCACAGTCCTCCCATCCTCGAGATAGCCTGGAGACAACATTCATCTTGTTAGGGCAAACTAACAAATGAGACAGTTGTTTTGTGTAAAACACGATATCCAACTTAGAAAAATACAGCTGTTTAAAGTCTTTTTCCACGACTCATGGGGGGCTTATTGGATTCTGCATGCATACCTCTAAGTAGAGGACCATTTTAGATTGTTTAAAGTTGGATTAATCATGTCTTATAAAACCTACTGTAATACACAAATAATTACAAGTAATTGATTATCAACAACAAATAAATCATTACTAAACACTGTTTTCACGCCAATTTGACTTCATTGATTCATCTGGGAAAGCCCGTATAGCCTACCACAAAGGTCAACAGCAATGTCATTGACTGGAACAAAGCTATTTGTTAAGAACTGTACTGTCCTTTTTCAATGTAGATATAAAAAAAACACACATTGAATTTATAGATAATATGTCTTGCTAATATGTGACCCGCTCGAAGTCGCAACGGCTCATTTCAAAATAAACGTGGATTTGCGTAAAAAAATAGTTTTTCGGGGTTTGGGTGTTTTGTTTGATTTTAAATAAACAAAGTCTTGGCTTTCAGAATATGAAACTTTTATTTCCAAAATCGAACGATAAATACATTTTTGAAGCTTGTAAAGGGAAGATGATGGGCACTCTGCTGTTCCGCAGCGCCGCCCCCCCCTCCCTCCGGCTGAAATTATGAATGTAAGGCGTATAGTAATCATAGATAACACGACAGGTTCCGTTACAGTTTGTTTTCATCTGATTTCAAATAAACAAAGTCCTGGCTTTCAGAATATTAAACTTGTTTCGGCAAATTCAGATGATAAATACAGCTTTGAAGCTTGTGACGGCATAATTACAAGCGGAGAACGGAGTAACTTAACGTCACAGCAGGCATAACAGCAGCCGGTGTTTCTCGTGAGGGTTTTCCCCGGGAAACAAACACAATACACACAAACGCAAAAATACACAAACACACACTCGCGAGCTTCCCCCAGACCAGTAATCCAAACGAAAATATCTTCCCTCCGTACTACTTTGATCATTTGCTCCGCTAATAATCAATCAGATTGATGGATTCCAGAGAAGAGGAAACTTTGAAGGCCTTTTTCTCAAAATGATGACTCGTGACATATTTTGCTTAATATTTGGAGTACAAAAACAATCCTGATATCATCTGAAAGCTACGAATCTCCTCTTTCCAACAGTGTATACAACTCAAAATGTGTCTTCGGGTCAATGCGACTGATTTCGATGGAGCAGGTCACATATGAGCTATACATGTGTTTTTATACTAGGTCTAACTCCCTGACAATGACAAAGCAGAACCTTTGATATTACAGTACACGTGTGGAGATGAAAATGAACAATTGTTCTTAAGTGTCTTTGTAATTGTGCCCTTCTGTACAAGGAACACGTTTACAATCCACAGATAACAAAACATCAGAGGTTAGGGGAAAATGCAGTTGTAGTTGTTTCCCTATCAAGTAGGTGTGTGAATCAGTGGTTACGGCAAACTGTCCGGTTAGGACAGGGGTGCCCAACCTTTTTTGAACCGAGAGCTACTTTTAAAGTTGCCAGTCTGCCGAGATCTACCAGTCCAAATAGAGAGGCGTAGCCATTACTACCAGGTAAATACACACTTCTACTTGTATAAAACTGACCTTTGTACGATGAATACTTCATAAAATACTGCAGATCCTTTATCTTACCTCTTTCTAATCTACACACATACAAGTATTTAACTGAAGTTACACAACAGTGTTGTTGATACAGAGTTGGAGTTTATTCACACGTCACTACAGTGGGTAATGTATTCAAGAAACATTGAACAGTGCTGCCACATGTGACACAGGAAAAAAAGAAAAGACTCTGAACCCTTTCTTTGCCATTATATACAAATAGTGTTGCTACAAAAGTATAAATTAGGCTTACTAACAAGACAACTCAGATCTGAAGCTACACAGGAATCTGCTGCAACAGTGCAATAAATAAAGACAAAATTAATAGAATCAAACCCTTTTTTTGTTGCATTTTAGTAGATTATAAAAAGAAATGCCTTTAAAATAGGATGCAAGCAACACTAGTTTCTTAACCTGAATTGATAATAGACTATAATCAATTTAAACAGAACAGATCTGAATGTTTGCATTCTTATACCATTTTGTACAATAATGAATAAGTTCAAACAATAACGGTATCTAACTTGAGTTTTTATTATATCAAAAACCTGTTGAAATGCTGTTATTTTGACTGTCCCCAAAAAGCGCGTCAGCAGCCTCCAGGAAAGCTTCTTTCACAACTTCGCCGTCTTTGAAAGACTTCATGTATTTCGCAAGAACGTGACTGACGCGATAAGATGCTCTGGTAGCAGCCTTGCTCTTGTTGTTGGGCCTGGTGAAAATGGACTGCTGTGCATTTAGCTGTCCTTTCAGGCCCCTCCCCTTTTGGGAGCGTAGGGCAGAATATAATTTATCGGAGGGAATTCCGTCTCGTAGCGTTTGTGCACTGTTTTGAAATGCCGCTCCTAAATTACCCTTCTTCGATAAAGCCACGCTCGCATTGCAGATGAGACAGATGGACTTTGAATTGGAATAGATACAAAAATAATCATCCTCCCACTCGGAGTGAAAATGATATATTTTGGGCTTTTTTGCTTCTGCCATAATTGCGGTCTTGTGTGTGTGCGGACTGTCACTCCTGTTGAGACGGACAACGTCAGTGAAATACTGCCCAATGCCCACCAGTCACGCCCCGACACATGGGGTCTCGCCGGCCAATCACAAAGCTTTGATGCGTTCAAGTGCATTATTCTGGACAAGAAGATTATGTTACAGGACATTAACGATACAACAGAATGTTGTTGTTCTATTTTTAGACACATCTCGCGATCGACTGGGAATCTCCCCGCGATCGACCGGTCGATCGCGATCGACCGGTTGGGCACCCCTGGGTTAGGACGAAAAGCTATACGATCCCTTATCAGGAAGACGGAGGCAGGCCAAGACTTGCCCTGTCGTTTATCTGGAAATCCTTCGCTTACCTTGGTAAAGCATTTCTTGTCCTGCGTCAACAAGGCAGCCTTTCCTGTCCCCGGGGTGCTCACACGGGCCATCTCTCTCAGACAGGAGGGGTACAGGTCCCAGTTCTTCTTCCTAGAGCCCATTCTTCAAGAAAACAAAGGAGATAGTGTGAAAGATAAATCAGATAGTGTGAAAGATAAATCCACTATTTCGTATTTTTTGGAATAAAAATCTTTTAACCAGCAAAAACGAAGAGGTGACATTAAGAGGTTAACATTAGACTTGACTGGGACATTGAAGCCACTGGAGAGGTAATGAACCCTTTAAAACCAGGAAAAGACTACAACTATTTATATAATTAAATGTTCTAACCCTGATACTAGAAATCCACTCATTCAACAACACTTCTACATACTACTTAATCAAGCATGCACTGCACACGTGTTTATGATACTCATGGTACCTGTCACTGTAAAT